ATGTGTATTCAGCTCCATCTAATTTCCATTTATGTATGCAGGTCCACCCATTACAGGCTACCTACAGAAAACTCTAAGAGGGAGGGTACAAGACCAGTCACCCAGCACAAATAGAGGACAGCAGTGACCGGTCTGCTAAGGGCAGGAGTTGTTTCAAGTGGGATTACTGCACATATATGAAAGAAACACAAAAAGGACATCAAGTTTCCATGAATACACCTACCATCTGTATTTATGCAATATTTGTGTTGCCCAGTATTTAGTATTAAGCACTCAATTTTCCTAAAGCAGGACTGGGCTTGTTTAGATCTTTACAATGTAAACTGTTATGAAATATTTCTAATATCAGAATAAACAGGGCTCAGGAGCTCTGGTGGAAAGTTTATTGCAGGTAAAGATTCCTTATCAGATCCACTGAAAATTAGTCACAATAATGCTGCTCCATTGGCTTAAGTAGTAGTTTATTCACAAACATCAGGACAATTTTAAAACTAAACAGGAATAGATGTGTACAAGTGGTACCAATTACTGGACTCTGAGGCTATGATGGAAGATCCACTGTTCCTCATTGGAAGCAATGGGCAAGGATGACACAATTGCCGAGATAAGTGGACCATGTCCGCTGTATGATGGCCGTCTGTCTCGGACAGCTGCAGCAAGGTGCTAGAAGTGACGTAACCAAGACCCTGAGAGTAAACCAGAAGCAAGCCACAGGAAGCCAGGATAGACCGCAAGCGATCAGGTTGCCATTGTGATGCAGACTGGTCCGGTGACACTAGGACTGGGTGTGGCAGTAAGCAGGAACACTGTTGCTGGTTTCACTCTCTGTGCTGATACTGGGACTTATGTGGCAGTGATCAGGAACACCACTGCTTGCATACACTGGTCTGGTGACACTAGGACTGCTGTGGTGGTGATTAGAAACACTCTTGCAGACTTGCACTGGTCATGGGAGACTGGGTACTGGTGTCGTAGCAATCAGGAACACTGTTACTGGCTTAAACTGGTCTGATGGCATTGCAACTGGTGTAGTGACGTAACCAAGACCCTGAGAGTACACCAGAAGCAAGCCACAGGAAGCCAGGATAGACTGCAAGTGATCAGGTTGCCATTGTAATGTAAACTGGTCCGGTGACACTAGAACTGGTGTGGCAGTAAGCAGGGACACTGTTGCTGGTTTCATTGTCTGTGCTGATACTGGGACTTATGTGGCAGTGATCAGGAACACTTCTGCTTGTATACACTGGTCTGGTCACACACTAGGACTGCTGTCTTGCAGACTTGCACTGGTCATGGGACACTGGGTACTGGTGTGGCAGCAATTTTGAACACTGTTACTGGCTACACTGCTCTGGAGACATTGTAACTGTGTAGTGGTGATAAGGTACACTGTGACTGGTGCAGTATTGATTGGGGACAATGTGACTGGCAGCACCGGTCTGGTGACATTGTACTGCTGTGGGGGTGATCAGAGAGACAATGGATGGCTGGGATCTTTTTTTACACTCTGAGTGTTCAATACAGTGCTGATCACTGTAATGAACACTTTTTCCACAGCTGACCACTGTAAGAGGAATCATTTCAAAACCTACATCATGCAGCCTTTGTTTACAAGTGTTATCACTGTGATTGGTCACATAAACCACAAAGTACAGGGCCAATTCCAATGGCCCTATACCACAATCTGTGATCTGCTGTGATTGGTCACAGTGATCACATGGTAAAGGGTAAATGTTATTGGACTTGTACCACAGACTGTGATCTGTTGTGTCCCATTTTTTCCCCTGTTTTTCCCTTACCCCCTTTTTCCCCTGCTGCACGCCCCAACCCTGCCTTCCACATATTCTAGGTTGTCATTTAATCTAGATTCTGATACCATTTTTCAGTTACTAGGACTTACCATCTGAGGTTGAGTCAACCCACTCCTTTGTTCTTTTCCTTCACACCCTTTAAAAGGTTAACAGAAGCCCCCAGGGGCCTATACCCACTGGATTTTAGCCTACCACCTAGATCGCTGTGTAAGATCTACTGCTGAGACCTTTATACTATGTCCTTTCTGTTGGATATTACATTTGTAATTATATGTTAAAAAGAAAGCATGCTTTGCAAATGAATTGTCATAAGTGAACCCTGAAATAAGTGTTTTGTAGACTCATGCACAAGGACATCATTAAAACACGCCTATCAAGGCTAGATCTTGCTGCCTGTCCCTACACTGTGCACATGTAATATTTCTGTAACATTTCCATGTGTACACACATACAACATGAATGAACACTATTGCTTGCTAGGATGCAGGCAGCTCGAGTACACCCGGAGAAAGGTAAGTACAGGGCAGTGGCCTCTAGATGGCAGGAAAGTTTCTGTGTTTCTCTTTTTTATCGAGATGAGTAGGAGGAGATCTGAAGGGTGTTTTTTTTATGTATTTCATGAGATGGTAGTTAAGACCTCAATCAGTTCATTTGTATCAGCTGCACCTTTCAGGTATTCATCCAACAGTGATATGTACAATGCCCTTCCTTAATTGGCTGTGTACAGTTATTTCTGATTGGGTACCATGCAAGTAAGTATCTCCAGTATTTCCAGTGAAAAGCCTGTTAGTCAATATTTAAATTATCCTCGTCTAATACCAATTTGTGTTAGTTACAATATAGTTAGATCCTATTAATTATGAATATGCTGTGTTATTTTAAAATGATGCTCTTCTTCCACAGGTGCCATCCATGGGAACTCTATACAATCAGATCTGGCACACATGTACTGTGAAGTGGGAAGACTGTGACATTGAGGTGTAATTATTCTATCAACAGTGATCAGCCAGATCTGTTCTGGTATAGACAGTATACCAACCAGATGCAGTATATTCTGTACCGTGGAGCAAGAAGTATGTCTTCTATGAGAAATGCTGGAAATTTCAAGACTGGAAAATTTGAATCTGAGACCAGCGAGTCCACTACCAGCTTAACTATATACGACATGACTGTGTCTGATTCTGCTGTGTACTTCTGTGCTCTCAGAGATGGTGCACAGTGTGACATATACATTGTAGACCCATCAATAAACCTCCTCCTCACTACCACTCTTCCACCAGAAGATGGCGGAATCTGTAATGGTCTCTTTAATAAAACATTCTCCTTGCTACCACACTCCTACCAGCAGAGGGCAGAATTCACCTTACCTAATTATAAAGACCCTGTAGTAAGGAAAATAAACCAGGCAGCCTGTAAAAGAGGAGAGATTCAGTGTTCACTTCTCCAGCAAGTGCTGAGTTCAATTCTCACTCTTTAGAAGAGTGCCATAATAGCTCTTTCACCTCCTTTGCAGAGATTCATTAGGAGCCATGAAGAAATTTGCATACTTTTATATTTATTATACTGGCCCTTTCCCCAGGTAATACTGTTTACTATTAGTCTGAAAAGTGTTGAAATGGCAGTAAATGCTGTATTCTAATGTATTTTTTTTTGTAAATGTTTATTCATTTTTTTACTATTATTTAGTTCGTAATTGTTTATTTACGTGTGGTTATTTATTTTGTATTTTGTATTTTATTTATTTATTTTTTGCCTTCTTCTGGATCAACTGTAGGTGTAGGATTATAACTTTTTTTTTTTCTATGGTTGAACTGGATAGACTTTTGTTATTTTTCAGCCAGACTAACTATGTAACTATATGTATTTATTTAATGTTTTGTAAAATGTAATGTTTAAATTTCTATGTATTAGAACTGGTGACAATCTAGTTCCATTACTGTTTCCGTTGTGATATCAGATGTCAGATGAAGATCTGGACATCACATAACATGAATGTCTTAATAATTATGAATATGCTGTGTTATTTAAAATGATTCTCTTCTTCCTCAGGTGCCATCCATGGGAATTCTATACAATCAGATCTGGCACACATGTACAGTGAAGTTGGGAAAGACTGTGACATTGAGGTGTAATTATTCTATCAACAGCAATCAGCCCTATCTGTTCTGGTATAAACAGTATGCCAACCAGATGCAGTATATTCTGTACCGTGGAGCCAAAACAACGTCTTCTATGAGAAATGATGGAAATTTCAAGATTGGAAAATTTGAATCTGAGACCAGCGAGGCCACTACCAGCTTAACTATATACGACATGACTGTGTCTGATTCTGCTGTGTACTTCTGTGCTCTCAGAGATGGTGCACAGTGTGACATATACATTGTAGACCCATCAATAAACCTCCTCCTCACTACCACTCTTCCACCAGCAGATGGCGGAATCTTATGTAGTTCCATCAATAAAACATCCTCTCGCTATCACTCCTCCACCAGCAGAGGGCAGAATTCACCTTACCTTATTATATAGACCCAGTAGTAAGGAAACTAAACCAGGCAGCCTGTAAAAGAGGAGAGATTCAGTGTTCACTTCTCCAGCAAGTGCTGAGTTCAATTCTTACTCTTTAGAAGAGTGCCATAATAGGACTATCACCTCCTTTGCAGAGATTCATTAGGAGCCATGAAGAAATTTGCGCACTTTATATTTATTATACTGGCCCTTTCCCCAGGTAATACTGTTTACTGTTTTTTTTAATGTTTATAATTTTTTGGACTATTATTTAGTTTGTAATTGTTTATTTACTCGTGGTTATTTATTTTGTATTTTTTTTTCTTTTATTTATTTGTTTAATGTTTTTTAAAGTTTAAATGTCTATGTCCTTAGAACTGGTAACAATCTAGTTCCATTACTGTTTCCATTGTAATGTCAGATGTCCTTTCTTAAATTGTCATCACAGTTATTTCTAGTTTGGTGTCTTTCAGGTGGGTATGTCCTTTTAAATCTCCAGCTGATGTGTATATTATTGTAACAAGGTAAAGAAATATAGCCATATACTGTATTTTTCATACTTACATAAAATACCTGTTCTTGTTGTCTAATGTTTCATATGCTGATCTACTATGTCTACCGATGTTTAATTCTCCTTCTATAGGTCCTGTCAATGGGAACTCTATACAATCACATCCGCCACACATGTCTACTGATGCTGGGAAGACTGTGATGTTAAAATGTAATTATTCCACCAGCAGTAATGAGCCCTATCTATTCTGGTATAAACAATATGCTAACCAGATGCAATATATTCTTTACCGTGGAGCCAAAAGTATGTCTTCTATGAGACACGATGGAAATTTCAAGACTGGAAAATTTGAATCTGAGACCAGCGAGTCCACTACCCGCTTAACTATATATGACATGACTGTGTCTGATTCTGCTGTGTACTTCTGTGCTCTCAGAGCTGTTGCACAGTGTGACATATACATTGTAGACCCATCAATAAACCTCCTCCTCACTACCACTCTTCCACCAGTAGATGGCAGAATCTGTTATAGTCTCTTCAATAAAACATTCTCCTTGCTACCACACTCCTACCAGCAGAGGGCAGAATTCACCTTACCTAATTATAAACACCCAGTAGTAAGGAAACTAAACCAGGCAGCCTGTAAAAGAGGAGAGATTCAGTGTTCACTTCTCCAGCAGGTGCTGAGTTCAATTCTCACTCTTTAGAAGAGTGCCAGAATAGCTCTTTCACCTCCTTTGCAGAGATTCACCAGGAGCCATGAAGAAATGTGCACACTTTATATTTTACTATTAGTCTGAAAAGTGTTGAAATGGCAGTAAATTCTGTATTTTAATGTATTTTTTTTTGTAAATGTCTATTAAATTTTTTTACTATTATTTAGTTTGTAATTGTTCATTTATGTGTGGTTATTTATTTTGTATTTTTCCTTTCCTTTATTTATTTATTTTTTAATGTTTTGTAAAATGTAATGTTTAAATTTCTATGTCCTTAGAACTGGTCATAATTTAGTTCAATTACTGTTTCCGTTGTGATATCAGATGTTGGATGAAGACACCAGACACATATTTAAAACATGTACTGTAGGGATATCAGCTGAAAATAGTGCACCACCCCAGCTGATTCTTATACTATATAAAAAAACATCCTAAGACAAAAACTGAGCAATAATATACTGCATGTATCATACTGATATATCCTAGAGAGTAAGTGCCAAAAGCATGTATTAGCCACACACAGAATATAAAGAAATAGTGGAGCTCTCTTAAAGTGCAAAAGTCCTTGAATACTTAATGTGAAGGATGTCATTCATTTCATATTGAATTTTGATGGCTGTAGAAGGTGGAATCATCCACACTATCCAATAGGAGACTGCAGCTTAGATATCCAGATCAATCAAAAAAGGGCTCATCAAAAAAAAGTATATCATATATTGCTGAAGAGCATGCTGAAGAAGCAGATGTATGGATGCTTGATAGATCCTTTACTGACATGATACTCCAGTCATAAGCCCTTGACACTCCAAGTATTCAAAACTCTCAAAGTGGATTTAAAGTGTTACTTAACCCAGGACCCTGCATTCACTATACAGTCAGGTCCATAAATATTGGGACATCGACACAATTCTAACAGTTTTGGCTCTATACACCACCACAATGGATCTGAAATGAAACAAACAAGATGTGCTTTAACTGCAGACTGTCGGCTTTTAATTTGAGGGTATTTACATCCAAATCAGGTGAACGGTGTAGAAATTACAACAGTTTGCATATGTGCGTCCCACTTGGTAAGGGACCAAAAGTAATGGGACAATTGGCTTCTCAGCTGTTCCATGGCCAGGATGTGTTATTCCCTCATTATCCCAATTACAATGAGCAGATAAAAGGTCCAGAGTTCATTTCACGTGTGCTATTTGCATTTGGAATCTGTTGCTGTCAACTCTCAAGATGAGATCCAAAGAGCTGTCACTATCAGTGAAGCAAGCCATCATTAGGCTGAAAAAACAAAACAAACCCATCAGAGAGATAGCAAAAACATTTGGCGTGGCCAAAACAACAGTTTGGAACATTCTTAAAAAGAAGGAACGCACTGGTGAGCTCAGCAACACCAAAAGACCCGGAAGACCACAGAAAACAACTGTGGTGGATGACCGAAGAATTCTTTCCCTGGTGAAGAAAACACCCTTCACAACAGTTGGCCAGATCAAGAACACTCTCCAGGAGGTAGGTGTATGTGTGTCAAAGTCATCAATCAAGAGAAGACTTCACCAGAGTGAATACAGAGGGTTCACCACAAGATGTAAACCAGTGGTGAGCCTCAAAAACAGGAAGGCCAGATTAGAGTTTGCCAAACGACATCTAAAAAAGCCTTCACAGTTCTGGAACAACATCCTATGGACAGATGAGACCAAGATCAACTTGTACCAGAGTGATGGGAAGAGAAGAGTATGGAGAAGGAAAGGAACTGCTCATGATCCTAAGCATACCACCTCATCAGTGAAGCATGGTGGTGGTAGTGTCATGGCGTGGGCATGTATGGCTGCCAATGGAACTGGTTCTCTTGTATTTATTGATGATGTGACTGCTGACAAAAGCAGCAGGATGAATTCTGAAGTGTTTCGGGCAATATTATCTGCTCATATTCAGCCAAATGCTTCAGAACTCATTGGATGCCGCTTCACAGTGCAGATGGACAATGACCCAAAGCAGACTGCAAAAGCAACCAAAGAGTTTTTTAAGGGAAAGAAGTGGAATGTTATGCAATGGCCAAGTCAATCACCTGACCTGATGGTTTGGTTGGGTTTTTGGTTGATCCGATTGAGCATGCATTTCACTTGCTGAAGACAAAACTGAAGGAAAATGCCCCAAGAACAAGCAGGAACTGAAGACAGTTGCAGTAGAGGCCTGGCAGAGCATCACCAGGGATGAAACCCAGCGTCTGGTGATGTCTATGCGTTCCAGACTTCAGGCTGAAATTGACTGTAAAGGATTTCCAAACAAGTATTAAAAAGTGAAAGTTTGATTTATGATTATTATTCTGTCCCATTACTTTTGGTCTCTTAACAAGTGGGAGGCACATATGCAAACTGTTGTAACTCCTACACCGTTCACCTGATTTGGATGTAAATACCCTCAAATTAAAGCTGACAGTCTGCAGTTAAAGCACATCTTGTTCGTTTCATTTCAAATCCATTGTGGTGGTGTATAGAGCCAAAAATGTTAGAATTGTGTCAATGTCCCAATATTTATGGACCTGACTGTATCTGGTCTCCCACAGTACACACAGAACATGGGAATGCAATTTATTTCAGTAAAAAAACTGGTAAATACCTTTTCTCATCAGCAATTAGAGCAGTCTTGTGAGTTCTATCAGTATCCAGCAGAGCACTGTTTACAGCTTGTAGGAGGAGTTTTCATTCTCCTGTAGGAGAATGCAGGACCCCTGACCTCTGTCTGGAGAGTGCTGATTGGCCCTGTGCTGCTCACATGCACTTTCCCAAGAAAAAAAAAACTCTCTAGCAATACACATCAAACTGAGCATGTGCAGCTTACCCTAGCCTCTGTTCTATCAGGAGAAAAGAGGGGGACACTGGACGAAGGGGAGGATCAGAGAAGACAGGATCAAACAGCCTTTTTACACAATGTGGTGGATTAACCCCTTAAGTTCCACAGTATATACCAAACATGCTTTACTGCATATACAGACTGATTTTACTGTTTAGTAACACTTTAACTTGTAATCAATGATCACATATACATATATCTCTACAGCGACCACCAAGACATCCCAAATAAGGCTTACGGACTACCCATAATGTTGAGAGCCCAGATGACCATAGAAATCATAAAAGTCCACTCTCTGACTTGAAACTTCAAGCTGCAGATCCTTCATTCACTGTATTAAGCCAGGAGTCTATGCACCACGTAAAAGAATAAAAGAGCAATTAGGATCACTGAGAAAGACTGCAAAATAATAAATGTTTGCTTTTGGATTTCATACTGCTTTAACCACTTGTCGCCCCTCAACAGTACATTTACTGCGGCGGGGTGGCATGAGTGGCAGGCACAGTAATGTATATATACATGACTGCCTGCTTCCAGGTCTGTGGGCTCGCGCATGCGCACCCCCTGCCACCCATGCTGTTATTGGACACAGCACAAGTTTGCCAGCGGATTTCAGTCAATGATTTTGGCTGAAGTCAGCTCATTGCCTGTATCCAATCACACACAGAGTTCTGTGTTTACAAAACACAACTTTGTGCACATGGAAGAGTGATCTTGCTGTTTCTTCTCCCTGCAAAGCAGAGAGAAAAAACAGCCGGACAGTAGAGAAAAAGCAACACATATTATTCACATTACACATTGTTAGGCACACAGTTAACCCCTTGTTTGCCCCTAGATGTTAACCCCTTCCCAGCCAGTGTCATTAGTATAGTGACAGTGTACAGTATTAGCACTAATCACTGTGTTAGTGTCACTAATTATGTCAGTGTCAGTCAGTGTACCTCCCAACCAGCGCCAGATTGCACTCCACACTATCACAATCCTACTGTAAATTGCTGATCACCACCATTACCAGTATAGCGTCATAGTAAATTCCAGTATATACAGTATACCATAGTTAGTACATATAAAACACAAAGGTACGGCACTTTGGATAATCACAATAAAACAAAGAAGGTATAAAATAAATCTTTTATTTTATAAATGTTTTTAATTTTTTACATTCTTCTTTATTTTATTGTGATTATCCGAAGCGCCGCACCTTTGTGTTTTATATGTTTATGTGTTGTTGCCTGCAATACTGCGGTGGCTGCTTTTTTGTATCAATTTATGTGTGCCATTTATATAATATAGCGCGGAAGTGTCAAATTATTAATTATCCACATAGTTTGTAGATGCTATAACTTTTGCACAAACCAATTAATTTACACTTATTGGGATTCTTTTTTTTACCACAGACCTGTAGGAGAATACATTTTGGCCTAAATTTATGAAAAAAATTGATTAATTATTTATTATTTTATTGGATGTGTTTTATAAAAGAAAGTAGAAAATATTGTTTTTAACTAATATTTCCATTATTTTTTGTTTATATAATAACATTTTTTTTTAAAAATTAGTGGTGATCAAATACCACCAAAAGAAAGTTCTATTTGTGTTAAAAAAAAAGAAATTTCATTTTAGTACAGTGTTGCATGACTACACAAATTCAAGTTAAAGTAACGCTGTGCTGAATAGCAAAAAATACCCTGGTCATGAAGGAGGTAAATCCTTCTGGGCAAAGCTGAACTACTAGCACAAAAACTTTTATTTATATATGCAAGTCCAACCATTACAGGATGAGTAAAGAATACTAGAAGAGGGTAGAGACAAGACCATTCACCCTGCACAAATAGAGAAAACAACAGTGACTGGTTTGTATTACAGGGAACTCCTACACAGAGGCAAAGTGTAGGAGTTGTTTCATTCTGGATCATTGCACAGACCTGAAGGAAACACCCAAAGGACAATTAGTTTCCAGTAACACATGTACATTTATACCGTTTTTTGCTTTGCCAAGTATTTAGCTTTAAATTCTGAATTCTCCCAAAACAGGACTGGGTTTGTTTAGATCTTTCAAATCTAAACAGTTATGAAATATGTTACAAAATATTCCACTGTAAAGCTCTGAGCAAACTGTTGTATAATATAATAATAATAATAAT